TATTTAAATGACGTTAACTCAAGTATGCAAGGCAAAAATGAAAATATTTTAACATCCACGGACAAGCTGTCAGCTTTCCAGAAAAAATTGTCATTTTGGAAGAAGCGCATTTTAGAGACAAATAAAATGGATATGTTTCCACTGCTTCAGAATGAAGGTGATGAAGATAAAGAACAAGAAATCACGCATATAGTTACAGAACACTTATCACTATTAGAGGAGACAATTGCCAGGTATTTTCCATCTCTGAACGTAGAAAAATATGACTGGATAAGAAGTCCTTTTAGCACAAGTAATACAGCCAATTTCCAGTTTTCTCTGAACCAAGAAGAAGAATTTATTTCGTTGTCATCTGATCGTACTCTGAAAATTAAGTTTTCAGAAGTGAATGTTCAGGAATTTTGGATCTTGGTCCAAGAGGAATATCCACTTCTTGCCAAAAAAGCGATTAGTATTTTAATACAGTTTTCAACGTCCTATTTATGTGAATTTGGGTTCTCATCTTTAACAAACATTAAAAATAAGAAACGGGAAAGGCTGCTAAACTTAGAACAAGAAATGAGAGTAGCTCTTTCCCACATCAGGCCTGATATTGAGCAAATTTGCAAACGACACCAGGCACAAGTGTCTCACTAATTTGAAGTATTTACTCATATGATGTATTTTGAGAATTACGCTTTTGTTAATTTTAAAAATGTTTTTTGTTTTCATATTGCTCTTGCACTGAATTCCAGTCCATCAGCAATTGACATAACAATTTGCACCCAGGACATTATATCTAAATTAACTTGGTCTGTTATTCAAGATCCACATGGTTCTGACCATCTACCCATGACCATCTCCTTAGAAAATCCCAAACAAGCAACTCCACCTGGTAACAATATACAAAAAAGATAGAATCTAAATAAAGCAAATTGGAATTTGTATTCATTGAACTTTTCTTAAGAAAAACTTCCTCAAACTTATGAGGAATTAGTTAATGAAATAAACAGATGGGCACCCATTGCTATTCCAAAAGTATCAAAAAATAAAAAATATCCTACAGACAAGATTCCAAAACCATGGTGGGATAATAACTGCGAAACAGCTGCAAATAACCGTAAAACAGCCTATAGACGTTATAAAACAAATTCCAATATTCATAATTTAATTGAATACAAAAAATTGGATGCATTACCAAAGAACATTTTTAAAAATAGAAAAAAACAAAGTTGGATAAACTACTGCGAAAATCTTAACTCCCACAGTCTAATCAGCGACGTCTGGAAGAAAGTACATCGCTACAAAAACCGAAAACAGTCCAACAAACTCCCGATAAACTGCGAAGCTGCATGGATAGAAGATTTCCACTTGAAAATTTCACCTCCTTGGGTACCAAATCCAATAAACGAAGATATAGTCACCGTTTCCAGAGAATACTTCAATCTAAAAAAACCCTTTGAATTGTGGGAATTAAATTATGGACTCAAACAAAATAATAGTTCGTCTCCAGGGATGGACTGTATATCATACTCTATGTTATATTTTTTACCCACAGAATACAAATCATTATTATTACACATTTTTAACAATATATGGCTAAATGAGAAAATTCCCAAAACATGCAAGGACTATATTGTATTGCCTATAAAGAAGCCAGGAAAGCCAGATAACAACGTTAAGTCTTACAGACCTATATCTTTAAGTTCTTGTATACTAAAAACTCTAGAGAGATTGATCAAAAATCTGCTTGAATCCGAAGATATCCTTCCCAAATCTCAATATGGCTTTCGGAAATCCAGGTCTACACAGGATGCTCTCACTTCACTAGTATCCTCTGTTCAGGTCAATTTCACAAATCAAGAATCAACAGCTGCAGCATTTATAGACGTAAACTCTGCATTTGATAACATTAATTTATATATTTTACATAAGAAATTGTTATATCTTGGACTGTCAGTTAAAATTTCAGATTTCATTATATCTTTGTACAAGAATAGATGGACTTAAAAAAAAATGAGACAGTTTTAGCGCCAAGGCTAACGAATATAGGTATACCAGAGGGCGGTATTTAAAGTCCAATATAGATCTAGAACAGATAGTACCTTCTCACTCTAATATATTGCAGTTTGCAGATGATGTTGTGTTGTATACCTTCCATACTAAACTTGACCTTTGTAGGCGTCAACTCGAATCTACACTAGATTGTATAAAAAATTATTACCATTCTCTAGGCTTATCAATATCAACTACAAAGACTGAAATTTGTTTTTTTTCCAAAAACGCCAAACTCCTCAAGGTAACTTTAAATTAGGAAAAATAGAATTTCAAATCAAAAATTGTGTAAAATATCTAGGCACATATTTGGATCGTAAACTGTTATGGAAGGATCAAATTCATTCTATTATAAAAAAATCGGAAAACTCCATGAATATCCTTAAATCATTTTGTAAAACCAGTTGGGGAGCTGACCCGAATATAGCATTGCTATTTTATCGCTCAATGATTCGACCAATTTTCGACTATAGTTGTCATTTATATGGGTCTGCGTCAACAGGATATCTTAATAAAATTGAAACCCAAAAGAATAAATGTTTGAGGCTATGTCTTGGTTACTTAAAATCTACTCCTATTAGTATTATTGAAATTGACGCTAAAGAGATACCCCTTACACTACGCAGACAGTTTTGTACAGATAAGTTTGTAGCTAGAGCTATATCAAAAAACTTCAGATATTTAAAAAATATTCGTAACTTGAATATAATAGACTTAAGTCATAAATATTGGTATAACAAAAAAACACATATACGTTGAAAGTTATAGGCAATTGACAATATTTGAAGAACAATTGTATCAAAATAAAATACCACCAATTTATAGACAACATCCTAAAACTCTCTTCTCTAAGATAATAGAAACATATTATATGGATTCAAATCTTCCAGGAAGTATGATCAACAAAATAATTAAAGATAAGTGGCCTGCATTTCAATATATTTTTACTGACGGCTCTAAAATTCAAAATAAAACGGGTTGTGCAATATATCACGGCCACGTGATGCGGAACGAAGAAAAATATCGAATTCTTCAACTCGTTATGCAGGGTAAAGTATTTGGCAGAAGAGGACTGGGACGCCGTCGTATCTCGTGGTTGAAAAATCTCCGACAATGATTTGGGATGACCTCAGCGGAGCTGTTTCGCAGAGCAGTCAACAAAACCATGATAGCCTTGATGATCGCCAACATCCGGACCAGATAAGGCACTGAAGAAGAAGAAGCAATATATCACTGGAATTCTGATTACAAAGAATCATGTCGATTGCCCAATGAAGCTTCAATATATACTGCTGAACTATCAGCTTTATTACTTGCATTAAAATATATAGCCTCTATTGGTATAAATAATTATATCATTCTGAGTGATTGTAGAAGCATTATGGACAAACTAACTTCTATCAAAACCACAAAAAACCTAAACCATATTGAGATATAAATAAAGAGGTTACATCATGATATTATTTCTGCAGGTAGCTTGATTATTATTTGTTGGGTAAAAGGCCACTCTGGAATATTAGGAAATGAAGAAGTCGACAAATTAGCTAAATCTGCAGCTTTAACCAAACATAATATAAACAACATACTTCTTCCAGTAGCAGACATAGATAATATCAGTAGAAACAACTGCAAACAAAGATGGCAACGTTTATACAACCAAAGTACAACTGGAATAAACTTTAGAGCTTGCCAACCACTAATTCTCAATGAGAGATGGTTCAAATATGAGACAAATAGGTTATTTATAAAAACAATAAACAGAATAAGATCAAAACACGCACTCACTCCTGCATACAAACACAGCATAGGTATCACTGATAACCCATATTGCTCCTGTGGTAAGTGGGAGATCTGCAGCACTTTATATTGGAGTGTGGACAGTACAGACAAAGTACCCAAAATGATGTGTGAAAAACTAATTGAGCCAAATTGTCTATTGCCTGTCAATTTGAATACAATTATTTTTTCAAATAATAAGCAGATATTAAAATGTATCTACGAATACATAACGTCCTGTAAATTTAAATTATAAGTAGTTTTAGGTATTCAAATTAAAAATTGTAAATATGTTAAAAATTGAATGTGTATACGAACATATCCTTCCTGTAAATTTATATAATAAGTAGGCTTAGGTAATAAAATCAAAAATTGTAACTACCACAAATAGTCTGGCTAATTGGCTTTGCCAAAGCCATTGTACAATAAAAAAAAAACTCTGGGACCACCAAGCTTCAAAGGGTTAATAATCACAATTGGTGAATAACGATATGATAAAAGACTAATTTGGAATATGCGCAATGAAATCGTGCTAATACAAGAAGATCACACTAACCTTAAGTCACACAACAACCTAAATTTCCTAAAAATGATAGGACGAGATTAAACTTACATTATGTTAAATATGTTAATTTATCTTAAGGAATGGGTTAGATTAGCACATAAAACGACTGCTATAGTAGCTTTTGAATTTTGATGTTATAGAAGAATCCTACGAATATCATAGACTCAAAGAATGTCAAATGTAGAAGTTACTAGAAGTATAGGAAATGAAGTTGAACTAATATTGACTGTCTAAAGATAAATGCTTCAGTATTTAGTACATATGATGAAAGGGCAAACATTTGAGGAAAGCGAAATGTGAGAAGACGAAGAATATCGTGGTTTATGAACTTGAGGGAATGGTTTAAATGCAGTGTAGAACTATTAAGAGCGGCAGTCAACAGAGTCCGCTGAGACATGATTTTTTTAACCTTCAATAGAAGATGGAACTTTAAAAAGAAGTAGCCATGTGAATAGTTTTACCTGTCATAATGGTCTAGCCAAGACGATTTCATAAGTGCCTATATAGATGGGCATGCTGGACTTATGTACATTGTCGCCACTATTTTGTAACAATATAAAATTCTTTTATTTTCTAACATACGTAAGGCTCTTCATCATCTCTCAAAAATATCCTTTTATTCCAGGCGCCAGCTCCACCACCACGAATAACGCCGTCTTCAACCATCCTCAATAATTTCCCAGAGGTTCCAGTCGCTTACAACGATAAAGTCGTAGCTTTTCTCAGACAACCGAATATATTCGATATCCTTAGAGAAAGACATCCTCCAGTAGGAAATTCTTCTTCGCTTAGGGATAAAGTTAACGCTGTTCGAGTGGATGGTACTAGTGCTTTAGACAGGTTTTGCCATGACGTCCATTTGACTATATTGCTGAGGTGAGTACTTTTTATATTTTTATTAGGAATGTTAAAATATTATTTTAATTTACATACATTGTTTCACTAATTGTGATGTGGAATAAATAAAATAGCATTATACTGTTTGTTTAGTCAATTACCATTCACTCATAACCAGAGTAAAAGCCAAATACGTGCCACGCAGTCTTGTCCCAACTCTTTAAAAGTTTTAAAAATTGCATTTATGGTTTTCCGTCATTATTTTTGTGTTTAATAAACTATTTATAGTTTTCATTATTTTTCTTTTCTGCACTACGAACTGAATAGAGAAAGTTACTGTAATTAGAAAAATTAGAAAAAAATTTAAAATGAATTGGAATTCATTTGAACAATTTTTTACATTAATTTTATATTTTTTTATTCTGTAAACTACAAGCGTCTTCAGACCTTTGAAAGTTTAAATAATTTCGTACAAAATTCTGATTAGTTTGTATAGTGACATACGTTAGCAATTGTACTGACGAAATATAACGGGAAACGAAAGGTTAAAAAAAATCTTTGCAGTGAAAGTTGCCTATATAGTAGATAGTTTATGGTCAACGCCATCGAGTTTAGATTCTAACTCGATGGTCTACGCATATAAGTGTATTTTGTATTGCCTAATCAGTCGCCAAAAATATTTTAAAATACAGTAGTCTCTCTTTATAACGATTCTCTATATAACGATAATTCCTCTATAACGATGAAAATAGTAAACGTTGGTTAGTTCGCCACAAGGACAATGTATTAATTCTTTCTCTATACCGATATCGTTCTCTCTTTATAGCGATGAATTTTCAGCGTTCAATAGTCGATGACAAATATGTTATTGTGTTTAAAGTTTAAACTACCTGAGTCATGAATGGCAAAGTCGTTGTCCAGCGGTTGTTTTAATTTGCGCTTAAGGAATGCGGCCACCCACTCTACTCATTTGACTCGCTTTTATTATTCGGGCGGCGTGCCTAACTCTTATCACACAGATGTCATCTATTGACGACTTTTCATTTCCAGTTTTGAGTTGTGTCTCAGTGTTTTAACAATGTTTTCAAAAAAGCGTAAGGTAAAAAGCAATCGGATGTCGTTTGCCGTACCCCTCAGTCAACTGTGGCTGTGTGCGGAAGGACAGGAAAAAGAGGCTTGAAGCGGAGATGTAGGGCGGTAGCAGGAAGAAGTTGCGGAAACCTCAATACGAAGATTTAGATCGCGATATGCTTCAGTGGTTTCAGTAGCAGCGAATGAACCATATTCCACTTTATGGGCCTGTGGTCAGGACAAAAGCTGAATCTTTTGCAATTGATCTTGAAATTGCAAGTTTCAATGCATCTGAGGGTTGGCTGAGCAAGTGGAAGAAGCTGCGGCACAAGATCAACTACGGGCAAATCAGCTGAGAGGCTCGCGATATTAACAAAAACGTAACGGATGATTGACTACAAAACGTGTGGCCTGGACTGAAGGCACGTTATGCGTCAGAAGACATTTTCAATGCTGATGAGACTGGATTGTTTTTTAAAATGACACCAAACAGAACTTTCAAATTTAAATCAGAATAGTTGGTGCAAAGCTCTCTAAGGAATGCATTACAATTATAGTGACCGCTAACATGACAGGTTCGGTAAAGCGAAAATTGTTAGTGATAGGGAAGTTGAAAAATCCACGTTGCTTTAAAAACATAAAAAATCTACCTGTGACCAATAAAGCAAACAAGAGTGCGTGGATGACTTCAAATACTTTTGAAGAAGCGATAAGAAAGTGGGATATCGAGCTTAAAAGGAAAAAATTCTTCTGCTTGTAGACAATTATCCTGCTCATCCTATACTGTACGACCCTCAAAACATTGAACTTTGTTTTCTGCCAGCAAACACAACGAGTGTCCTTGAGATCCAGCCGATGGACCAAAGTGTCATTAAGAGTTTGAAAAGCTATTACAGGAGAAGACTTTTGATGGTATTGGTTGAGAACAATGGCAATCTTAAACTAAACATTCTTGACGCCATCCTAGTGATTAGTAAATAATGGGACGAGGTGACGAGCAATACAATAAAACATTCCTTCAAACACGCAGGATACAGAAAGGACACAGACAGTTTGAACTTACTATCACCTACGGACCGGAAGAGCTAACAGATTTTGAATAATTTGATAAAAATGTAGCAAAACTATCTGGACTTTCTGAAAAGGACATCCTACAGTTCGTGCAGAAGAAGAAGAAAACAGTGACCCAGAAGTGGATGCAGAGCCAGAACTAGCTCCGTTCCCTCAGCAGGCATTGAGTGTGGCAAAAGTACTGCATTTATTCTTCATCCACCAGGAAGACAATATGAGTGCTGTGGAAGATTCTATGCGTCATTAGGACAAGGTCAGATCAGTTCTGTGGAAAGGGAAAAGGAAACAGACCAAGGTGACAGACTTTTTTTGGTAATGTAAGCAAAATATATTTTACAGTAGCATATTATTTTTTTATTGTACTGTACACATGTTTTAATTGTACATTCATTTTTTTATATCGTATTGCTTGTATTATTCTTTAATAAATCTATGTAGTGTACAATATAGCGTTAATTCATTTATATTCGTTTTGCTACATTTTTTAAATTAAAATAGGATATTTACTACAGTATTATTAATATTACAGTACCGAATTTTATCTCTTTCTGTATAACGATCTCTCCTTATAACGATGAAAATTCCCGGTCCCTTGCATATCGTTATAGAGAGAGAGGACTGTATATATTGCAGTGGTCTGTGATCCTTGTAATAATTACAAATGTTTCATTCAACTCTGACTATTATTCAAATAAAGACATCTTTTATTTATTTTAACAAAGTTGATAAAAACACCGATAATATATATTTATTTAACGCATAATCTCATTACATTTGAAACAATATTTTACTAGTAATCTCTGAATGTATCGACATTGAATCTATAATTTTGTTATGTAAATAATTTAAACTATAATAAACTAATATAATTTAGATTGTGTGAGAAACTTAAGGTTATTTTATTTAGTGAATCCCATGTCCTTCAAAAATGATGAAAAGTAATTATTTTATTTTATTGCTTAAAAATTAATGATCTTCCAATTAATAACCTAAGATATACTGACAATACGGCCACAATAGCGAACAATATAGAGGAGCTGCAAGATTTAGTGAATGGTATAAATGGAGTACGACCTTAACATCAACCTACCAAAAACCAAATATATGATAATGAGCCGACAACTCCATATAGAAGCTCAGTTGAATATAAATAATAGAACTATTGAACTTTTTAAATCGTTAACTTTGACAAATACCTCCCTCGCCGTTAAGTTCTTATAATCCTTAAAATCTTGATCTTGAAATGCTACATATTACCCATCCTGACGTACGGAAGTGGGAACTTTAAGTGAAATCTCTTAATTTTTGAAATGTGGTGTCTCAGAATGCTGCTTAGAGTTTTATGGGGGGACCATGTAACAAATGATGAAGCCCTAAGAGGAGTCAATGTTCAAAGAGAAATTTAGATCTCGTTAAGCAGCGAATTGTCTCATTCTTGAACCATATTCTACGAAATGACAAATATAATTTCCCTAAATATCATCTTAATGGTGATGGGTAAAGTTGATGGTCTAAAAGACCCTGAGCGAAAGCAACATTCATCGTCTAGAGACAAAGGAAACTGGTTACAGCACACCTGATGCCGTGAAGTTCCTTTATTCCTTAGAATCCGGGTCTCAAAATAGTCTCCTCATCAGGCGCATCCTGATGTACAGAAGTGGTATCCGGGTACCAATCGACCTACACTTTGTTGAATAATTTTTTTCTAATAAATAATTCACTAATAACTTCCCAAATGCCCATGATTCAACTAATTGTCCATAAATATATGAGAACAGATTTATTTGAATAAAAAAAAAAATAGATACACGTATAGGCTAACCGACATTGGGATTCCTCAATATTGGAGAACAAAACACCACAAACAATTAAGAAACACTCACAAGCAGGGACTCAAAGATGACAACAATACCATATATGTAAAGGGCTGATCAGAAAAATTGAAAAGGATAGGAAACCAGTACAATATCACAACATTCAAAACAACCAACACACCAAGATATACTATCCTGTCCATAACCCAACCCAACAACACACAAGAAAAATCCAAAAAGTGCATCTATAAAATACTCTGTGAATTCAAAAATTTCTGCGTAGAAGAAACCGCAAGACCAATAAGTGTCAGGACAAACTAGCATGAAACATACATCAATAACAGAGACTTTGAAAAAACCCAGATATGCAATCATGCCTGGGACAACGAGCACATACGACAATGGAAAGATGCATCAATAATAATGAAAGAAATAGACAGGAAACAGAGAAAAGTCAAATAAGCATCATCAAACTCAACTCATCCTACTCAACGAAAAAAAATATGTAGCACCCATCAGCAGAGTGTAGCAGGCTTTGGTCGCCAATACTAAACGAAGCAGTACATAACAAGATTATACCAACAATAATGGAGTAATAGGAAGCCGGAGAAATATCACCTAAGTACAATTTATACATAATACATATGCAACACACAATACACAAATCTACGTTACATAACCACAACTACGGTACACATTACACAAACATATAGGTAACATAAAAAACAAACAGGCGTTTGATATTCCTAGGGAAAGAACATCACCTGCAAATTTGTTCAACCATAAGCATGCTGTTGCTTACAAAATCAATGCTAAGCATGCCAACCATCAACTAATTGTGGATTAATACCATATAAATATAATATTTAAATAAGTCGTATTACTTCTATATGTACTTTCTTCAGATATCATTTCACAACTTGCTTTATTGTCACTGAATTTCGCTACCTCACAAGTATTTACCTATCCAGACATATTTTATTTTTCATCAGTAGAATCAAACAGGAATGAAAAACCGGAAATGGACAAGTAACGCGTGTAAAAGATATTTTATATCTATGGCTAACGCCTCTTCAAAGTTCA